GCAGGGGATGGAACAAATAGTACACTGATTTCAAATTATCTAAAAGAATCATTTTCCATGATAGGTATTCACTGAGAACATTTGTGGACTCAAAAAATAGTTAACTCTTTTTGGTGTTAATGCTTCTACATTAGGATAACATACATACAGATAAAGTGAGTTCTTTATTCTCAACTGGTTTGTCTTCACTTTGGATGTCATGTCCATAGGCTTCTTCCAAATTAGAAACCACCTATGAAAAAAAATTAAAGCAAACGAAGTAACTGGTAAAAGCATTGTATTGATACAGAAAGATAATTAATCAAGCACATCAAGAATATTTTAGCAAAAGTTGCCATCAATATAAATTTTTCATCTCATGCCTTATTTCCTATCATCCTGAAGTTCTTGACCCCAGCACCTGAAAAGGGAAAGAGGTCTATGACTCTTCCATTTCTATGCTGACAGCTATTTAAAGGGAGAGGATCTGTCTGTACATATTTGAGCAGCAATTAATACCAATATATGACTTGATTTTCTTCTTTGAAGAGAGGGGAAAATAAAGATGGAGACCAAAACCAAAAAATTTAAAGGTAAAAAAAAAAAAAAAAAAAAAATTTAAAGGTAATTCTCTTCAAGCTGATGCCTGAAATTTTAAGCAAACATATTTTTGAAAGCTTGAAAAATTATATTCTTTTCATATTTGTGCCACTCTTCATTGTTTTCACTTTGGTACATTTACAATTCAATTCTGGATCTTTATGCAAAAAGAAACTCAGAAAAAGGGTTTCACCTAATATTAAGAGCAAAAGTTTCTAAACTACAGAGTCGTGTCAACATCGCAGGCAGGAGATTTAGACAGACCTAGTCCTAGAAAGATCTGCTTACAAGGCTGGACTTAGACTGGTGTCTCAGAGCTTAGATTTCAGGAAGGTCCCCACTGTTCACTAGTACCCACCGTTCACTAGTAAATTGGCTCATGTCCCTAAACTGAACAATATGATTTATTCTGAATGCTTGCTTTCCCTTCAGGGGGTCTGGATTTTGGTACATCTCAAACAGAGACTAAACCCAGGCACTGAATCTAGTGGGGTTCAGTTGGTATTTCATGTGTTGTCAGTTTGTTGTTGGTAGAATTAGGCAAGTCCTATATGACTCCAAAAGGAGACATGGGGTGTCTGAACTTGGTCTTCTCCAGACTTCACCTGTGTCCTTTTCCTTTTACTGATTTTGCTTTCTGTTCTTTCACTGTGATACATCTTAGTATCAGTAAGGCAATGTGCTGAGTTGAGTGAGTTTTTCTACTAGGTTTGGCCCAGTAGAAAAGCACTGTACTAAACCCAGGGATAGTGGTTTTTAATTTAGGGAGCAACCAGTATCTTACCATTTTCAGGCGTTTGGTAACTGTCCTGATCAATTCATCTTCTGCTATTAACTCCTTTGTCTTACTTGATGGAATGGGCAAAGCATATCTTATGATGGATTCTCCTGTTGGTGGAGATCTTAAGACCATTGGTTCAAGATTATCACGTACTGATTTTGCAGTCTGTTTTTCCCTTAGTGCAGGTGACAAAGGTGGAATAAGTGGTCTTTTTTTAGAAGTTACTTCTGGTACTTTTGCTAACTTATTACTAGAGGTCAATGGATGTTTTACTGGCTTCATTTTGTTATTTACTTAATTTCCAAATTATAGATGAAATTTGTATTCTTCCCTGTAAATAAAACATTTAAGATTTCAGATTTAAAAATGATGGCAGGGTTATCAACTGCCTTAAAGATGATTCCAAAATCAATCCTGGAACAATTATAAAATGGAGCTGAAACCATTTCTAACAAACAAACAAAAAATGGTGAGAAAATTCTAGAGGAGACTCAAGTCGGGTTTACCTATGGATAATCAAGTTAAGATGAGTGAAACCTGAATTACGGTGGGTCCTAATCCAGTGTCTGATGTCTGTTCTAGAATTAAAAATGGACAGAGATACAGACAGCTGTAGATGAAAACACCAGGTGATGACAGACATAAAGACAGGAGTCACAAGTCTCAGGCCTGGGACACCTAGGCCTTCCAGCACCCACCTAGAAGCTAGATGCATGGGACAAGTTCTCCTTCAGAGTCTCTCCACGGAAGAACCAACTCACCCACCTCTTGGTACCAGCCAGCCAACATCAAATACTATGTGGAAAATAATTGTTACTGCAGATCCAGGAATGTTGGTGAAAATTATCCAACAGAAAGCAAAAATCCAGGGAAGGAAACTGCTGAAATGATACCAAGAAGAGAAATGAGCTGTAATACAAAATTGGTCAGAGCACTTTAGATAGCCACAAGGAAAGATCCACTAGGGTAGCAGAGTGGAAAGGCAGACATGCAGGGTACTTCAAGAAACCACAAAAAGAAGGACGGAACACTCACCAGGTGCTAGAGAAGGACCTAACTGATCAAAGTCACACAACATAAAAGTAAAAGTTACATGCAGTGAACACTCGTATTTAGAAGAAAATATTTCACGATTTTATACATTTACTTCATTTAACCCTCCTATGACCATAAATTTACCCAAGTGTATCAGTTCTACCACAAAAGAAAAATGATTTGTGCTTTTTCTTCAAGGATTCAGTTGCTATTTATTCCAAACCCTTCAATGGTCTGGTACACAAAATTGAGGGAGTGGGCGGACAGGAAAGGTTGTTTGCCATAGCTCTTGCGTCAAAAGCTTGACCGCCAGTGAAGCAGTCACCTGGAAGCATATTTAAGAGAAGCGAGGGTGCCTGTGTCGGGGAACCTAATGAAGACTCGCAGTTTGACGAAGCTCGCCCCTCCCCTCTTGGCAGTGTACCTGCTGAGGCTGTTGGACGTCGGTTACTGGCTGGTTTTGCCTCGGCGAGGTTGGCCCTAAGGTAAGAAAGTTGGAAATTCTGAGCTCCCGACTTCCTTCACGGCAGAAGACTGCAAACCCTCTAGACGGCAGCTCGGCTATTTTCAATATCATTGGTGCAGAAAGAAAGCCGGGGCCTTAGCGCCCCACGTTTGGGCAGTGATGACCATTGGGCCTCCCCGCGGGTCCTGCTGTTAACGCCACGACTAAGCGCCGACGTCGCCGCACGAGCTGCGCAAGAGGAGACGAGCGCGAGCCGTTTTCCGGAAACGGAAGTGAGGAATTTGTAGACCTGACTAGCTCAAGGTGCTCTCTCGCTAGTGTACTTCCTTCTGCGACCCTCGCAAGCGCAGTTTGTTTCAGACATTTGCCCTTGAGAAATAAAGCACGAGCCGTTTGGTTCTTTGAGACTTGGGCTGCTCAGCAAAACCTGAGTTCATCAGGTGCTCACCTGCCATTGTCTAAAATTTCTCATTGCCAAATTTTGTGCAGCGTGACACTAACCTATTTAACACCCATGAAATTGTGCAGCAGCAGCTTTGCCTTTTTAAAAATAAGGTGGACTAGGAGAACTCCAGGGTGAATTGCTCCACATAAACAGGCTTTTGCAGTTGGTCTTCATGCACTTTTCCTAAGCAGTTTTCCCAGGCACAGTTCTATATGACTTAACTTTGTATTTAAAAAGTTGAAGATTAATTAAAAACACTCCTCAGGGCCCTCCCTGGTGGTGTCGTGGGTTAGGATGCAGCACTGCAAGCGAGAGCAGCTGCTTCAGTGCTAGTTCGATTCCCCGCCCCGGAGGTGACCACACTTGGCGTGGCAGACCTCTCCTGACCCGCCCGCTGCTCCCCTCAGCAGTGTACTTCATCGATCTGCCTGTTCTGTTGCCCCACTCGGATCTCTGGTGAAGCCTTTTACCACCCCTGCACCTTTGGCCTGCACCCCAATTCTGTATGCGTAAATAAATAAATCTTAAAAAAAAAAAAACTCTTAAAATAAAGACATGATGAGAGTAAGTTTTTTTATATTAAAAATCTAACTTGATTATAATTTCATTGTTAATGATGATGACTGCTTGAAGAGCCACTTCGCCCAAATCCTGAAAAGTTAATGAACTGGTGCAAGCCTACCTCCAGCATACGGTAGTTACAGTTAGGATTAAACAAAGGTGGGCGGGTGGGGTGGGAGTCGAGGTTAGGTTGTAAGAGGGGGAGAAGCTTGAAGCTTTCTGGAGCACTGGAAATATTTTCTCTTTTTGGGTGTGTTTTAAAAAATTACAAAGATTTACAGTCACATCTGTGCAATTCTCAGTGTTTATCACAGCAATAATATGGAAAATATATGCTTAGTGATCAAACCTATTACACACTACAACAATGTGAAATTTCTGTTAATAGAAGGGTTAAGAAAAAGGGAACTAAAGTACAGAGAGACACCTTTTAAAAAATTAATGTGAGAGGAAGTAATAAATATCAAAAATAGACAAATGAAAATCCACATATGAAGAAGAGTTTTTGAAGAAAAAACCTGAAGTAAAGGTATGAAGTTTTGGCCCAGCACAATGGGTTAAAGCACAGCACTATGAAGTTATCCTCGGCCACTGCAGCACGAGTTCAATCCCCAGCCAGGGAGTTCACCCACATGGCATTGTAAACCTCTCCTGTCCATTGTTCCCCTCAGTAGTGAATTTCGATCAATTCACTTGTTCTGCTCCCCACTCTGTCTCTGGTGAATCCTCTTACCCCCTACACCTCTGGCCTGTACCCCAGTTATTATATGCATAAATAAATAAACATTTTTAAAAGTTTTAAAATAAAATAACATTCAAGAATAAAAAGTACAGAAAATTCAACACGTTGAACTTTACAAATTTATTGGTTCATGTTACCAATAAAAAGAATGACTCCCCTCCCCCAATCAGTAACAACTACAAGTAGGATGCTCGAGAACATCCTGTGAAGAGGAGTGTTCCAGATCACCTACAGTAAAGGGCTTATAGTCTTGTACAGGTTCCTTGTTGTTCTGGTGGGACAAGGCAGCTTCCTCCAAGACCAAAACAAAAATCAAAGCAAAAATAACCACATTTTTTCCATGACCTTGTGGTCTGGAGCCCCTCAGATTGTTACCATTCATTCCTCAGGTGTTTAAAAGAAAACACCTAGGTTACATATATAATAGGTGATGTGCTTATTATTAGGAGATTTGCCTCATTAACTTGGGTCACCAGGCAGGATGGGTGGGAGTGAAATAGAGGGTTGGAAACTAGGATTTACTAAATAGCAAAGACAACTTTAGGAGATCTTAGTCTGACACAAATTTTGAGTGATCTGAAAAATTTACGTATGATCCTTCCATACTTCAGACTCATCCATCAGGATTTCACTCCGAAAGTCATACAAACACCCCAGTGACACAAACAAACTCCCTTTCATACGTCTTTACACAGAAGTCTTCACCCACACAAATCCTCATTCACCTACTCACTAACACTCGCGCTGTTCACACAGACACCCTTTCATGCATTCCCCCAACAGAGAAATCCCAGACACCAGCCAACACGCGTGCATGTACACACACTCATACCACACACCAGCATTCCCGTCCTCATTCCTTTAGGTTTTTGCCTGGCCACCACTCCTGCTTTCCTCACTTTCATCCATGTTCCCCACATAAATCCCCTTCAACAAGTATTTATTGAGTGGCCAATAAGACTATTTATCTACTTGGTCTCTGCTCTCAAGGAGCTCAAAGTTTTTTGGTATAGGGGGTTGGGGGGGAAGGAAATCATGTAAAAATGCATGGCATGAGACTGGTCCTAAAATTGAAGTAAGGCCCAAAGAAAAGCAAGGGCAACGGAGAAAGAGGGAAAAGTAGGGGCAGAAGGAAAAGAAGTCATGGTTATTTGAAGAGATCAAGTGAGGAGATGCTAACGAGAAGGTGTAGATAATAATCTTGAAGAATTAGACTCTTCAAGGTTGACAAGGGAAGTTGCACACCAGAGAGATAAGGTGAAGAAGGAGTATCACCATCACATGACAAGGGTGTGAGCTGCCTGAGCCCAGGGGAAGACAGCTAGGAGGTGAGCTTGGCAAAGTAAACAGGAACAGATGATGAAAATTCTTTGACACCATGCAAAGTAACTTGAAATTTATAATATTCAATAATGAGTCAGTCTGGATGCTTTGCTGGCAAAGTTGAAACTTCAGACTTAACTAATAAACAAAATAGAATAACTCATGTAACTGGAGGTTCAGTGTCAACAAAGATTCAATTTTCCCTGTTCCCTGTCCCTTCCTCATCACATTGCTGGGCTTTTTCATGATCACAAAATGGCTGCTGTGGCATTAGGCTTTGCTTCCTCACACAACCACATCCAGAGGCAGAAAAAGAATCTCTTTATTAAACATATGACTAAGAATCCTTGTGTCTCTTTTTAAAAACTAGGACTCCTTTCCCAGAATCTCCCCTATTCCAGCATAATTTTTATGCTCCTCAAATTCATATGCCCTTTTGTAAGTTAATGAATCTTTGATTAATCAAGACCTGTCCCTGGAGCTAAAGATAGAGTCTGGGGATCTTGGAAACCTATGACTGACAGAGAATGAGATTTAAATCTTAACTTTTGGGGTTTTTTGGGCAAAGGAGGGGTGTCATTCACCATCATTGTTCTGTGAGCCCCTGGAGGGTTTTACTTATTGTTTGTGGTCAAATTTACACAGGAGGAAGGTGAAGCTGACAAGAGTTTTCAGAATTGACAAGGAAGAGAGTGAGACCAGAGGCAGTA